TCAGTTTAATTAGCCTCATAAAAATCATTGTAAATTCATGTACTTAAAAAAATTTTTGTTGGTGAAAACATTGCAAATCATGGGCAGATCAACACGGCTGTAATTTATGACAGTAAATGGCGAAGTTACAGTTCTGAATCTGGTGGTACAAAAGTAAACAGTTAACAAAGCTTTCTCCAAATTGATGTCGGAAAAACTAAATGACCAAGGTTTTAAAAAAATTCACAGTTTCAGGGACCATTCACAGCAAATATCTAAGATTTTTTACTGAGAGTTTGAAAGCTAAAAAACAGCACTTGCATGGGGAAGGTAACCTAAAATCAGAGGTGGATAAAGTTGATGGGATGGAATATGATGAAGATGCAAATGACACGTTGTATGTAGATAAAAAAGTAGTTGAGAAGGACCTATTTGGTCCAGCAATTGATGGCATCATTGATTGCACAGTAGCAGCTATTAAAGTGAATGAGTTCAAAGCAAGCACATTTTACTTGGTTGGTGAATTTGGAGGTTGCAGATATGTTCATCAAAAAGTAATGGCTGCCATAAACAAATTGTACATGTCTGAAGGATGTACGTGCAATGTATTAGTGCCACCTACTCCTCAATTAGCTGTTGCTACAGGAGCTGTAATGTGGCGTTGAAATCCAGGGAAAATAAAAGCAAGATGATCTAATGCAATGTATGGTATAGCCACAACACACTTCTATGAATTTAGCTCTCTATGCAAACACATGCCAGCTTAATTCCTGTTGCTTTTATTAGTTGTGCATGAGTGCATCATTCTTACTCAACAAAGCAGATTGAATTCCCCTTAAGTATGATAGCTACTGATAAATAGTACAATAATATAAACTATAAACATGTATTATTGATAATTATAGTAAACCATAATTTAAATGCTTTGTTGGAATTGGCTGAAAGCTACATGGTCATAATCATTTCATAAAAAAGACCCTATATACTCTTATTTGTGATGTTTTGTCATACAAACATGGTCAAAACAATATGATAGCAAACAAACATGGCTGATAGTATTCTTTCAACTATTGTAGTAAACAATAGCATTCAGTGTAGACACAACACAATCAATTTGATTATAAATCTAATTCAGAACAAAACTCTAAAGCATGGCAGTTTATGACTTAGTCACATGTTATGATGACTGTATAAAAGTGTCAGATACAGCCATAAAGGTTCAAGATCTCACAGCATTTCAGCTGTACAGTCATTTCAAAAACATTGAAATTGATAAAGAAAAATCCTCATCATAAAAGAAACATAACAGAAGATATAACTCCTGCTCCATGAAAGCATTATGAGTGGATAAGGAACAGAAGCATCACTGAGCTGGAAACCCTATGTGTTACATTTATGCCACACCAGTAGCAATTAATAAGTAATGTGCTTATATCACTTTTGCTACAATGCCATGCACAATACAGCAAGCAGTACACATTAGTACTTTTAGTAGCACCATATAAATCAACAAAATATGTTTTAACATGAGAAAAGGATTCATATTATCTCTGAAGCAAGTATGAATAGGACTCTGACAACAAAACAGTCAATCAGAAAAAAATATCCAAAATTTCTACTTATAAGTCAAAATCTTGTATTTTCTTGTCATAGGCAATAGATTTACAAACAGCATTAAAATATTTAATCAAATAAATAATTAATAATAATATTTAAATAATATTTCAATACTTTAATATTTAAATATTATTAAATAATAATATTTAAATAATTTAAATATTTTAATCTATTGGCTGTCTTATAACAAACAAGAGAGTACTTGTCCCATATACCTGGAATGCAACAGCATTACATGATTGTAAACAGCATATTTGTGAGGAAAACAGTGATGTCTCATCCTAGTATATAATTAGATGTACATTAAGGATATAATTGTGCTATTATTGCGGACACATTGCATGCTAAACTACATTCAAGAATGGCATTAAATGGCTTGTTTTTGTGTCTACAATTTTTTTTGTGGTATTCAAGTGCTGAACAGCTGAATGAACCCAACTTTGAGCAAGATGATGATAACACAACAATGAAAGGTCAGTAAGAAAATATTGTAACTTATCGTTTGCTCTATAGTTCCAGTTATATTACAAAACCCCTTTCTCTATTATTTGGACTACAAGACAGTGTATGTGAACTGTTCTGTTTATGGAGAGTCTCCATTTGAAGTCTCATGGTTGTATAGTACTGATGAGATATCTAATAGATCCAGTGACTACACTATCATCAGTGGTAGTAAAGTGTCTAATATTGTGTACAGTCCTAACTCTGATGATGAAGGATATGTGTGGTGGAACAGTTCTCTTCTTTTAAATCCTATTAATAACTCAACAGCTGGATATTACTACTGTAGAGTCAACACCTCATTTGGTCTAAACTATTCAAAACCAGTCTATGTCAGGAGCACTTGTAAGTCATTATTCAAACTAGTGAAATTAATGTAATAATTTCTATATGTAGATTTACCAAGGCTAAACTCCACAAGGTTTGTTAAAAGTGGTAACAGTGTCATTGCAACATGGAGAGTGATAAGTTTTCCATTGCCGAATATTCTAATTTCATTTCAGAACTTGAGTAGTGGATCTCTCTACCAAAAGAGAGTATACAATGACTTCATGACTGCCAATGTGTCAAACAACTTATACAACATAAGTCACTATTATACTTATGTTAACGAAACATGTGATGATAGTCTGACCGTACATTGGAGGTTTCCTTTCCATCAATTGTTTTCAATGCGACTAATAGCAATCAGTTATGATTACTTATCCCAAAAAGCATATCATCACAAGCTATATAATCATTCTGGTATAAATTTGTTGTATCAACTACAGTATTTATATTCTTTAATTTTAAAGGTCAAGCATATGTAAATTTTCTTGCTCTATCCTTCACCGAAAGAAAGGTCACCTTTTCATGTCTTTGTGCAGAGTGTGATGGCATTAAATGGAGAAAAAACAATATACCAATACCAAAGAGTAGCTATGGTGTTGTTGCACTCAAGAAAGAGCTTTGGCCTTCTCACTCAATTAATCTGAAACATAGCACACTGTCAACTTCATACTATGACAGTTATCTCCATAGCTGCCAACCAGTTTACTATCAAAATGATATATTTGAAAATTCTCAAGCATATATTGATGTCCCATGTAAGTATATAACTAGCTTTTCTAATGTACTGGGAACTGTAAAATTAATTTTAACTTCTAATATAGGCCTGTTTTAAATTTCTATTTCACTGCATTTAAAATTCTCTCATTTTATAGCCTATATATACAAACTAAAAATAGTCTTTAGGTTCTAGTTGTAATTTGTTATATGATTGTAGATGCTAGAATCATCAAGAGACCAGAAGCATCAACATATGTTCCTGGAGAAACACTCACACAGAAATGCTCTGCTCGTAGTCTCTATCCAATGACTGTCACATGGCAAGAATCAGAATTTCTGTTTCCAATAAAAGATAAAATTGATTCACGTAAAACAGAAGGCCTTTATAATATACTGAACAGTACAATAAGTGTCAATATCTCTGTACTAACACCACTTTTATTTTACTTGCGATGTAGATTCACTACAACAATTTATTATCAACCAGATAACTTTACTAAAGTACATGGTCTGTATCAAAAGGGACTATTATTTGAAAAAACAAAAACATTAAGAGCTCCCATCAATACAGGATATCGCAGAATGACTATACATTGTAAGTCTATTTTAATTTTGTGCTTCAAATTTTCATTCCATTCTATATACAGATCCATCATCTATCAACTCTAGTGTCACTAATATCACAATAAATGAAACTGAAAGGATGTACCTGTCGTGTTTATATACAGGGGCTCCTCAACCTACTATCATTTGGTACCACAATAACACACAGCTCCACTCAAACAGATATTTAACATTATCTAATCCCTCAGCTCAACTATCAGCAGTAATTATACAAATAACTAGATATGAAAGAGATAAGGGAACATATACATGTGAAGCTAGAAATGGTGTCACTAATTTGATTAATGCAAAACAATCCCACAATATAACTGTGAAAATTCAAGGTATATTTATTATTTAATAATATTGTTACTAAACAGTTTGAACACTAATTTAGTGGCTCCAGAGATTGAACTACCACAAAACATAACAGCTTATGAAAGTGATA